CCCAACATCTCTGAATTCGGGCTAAAACAGACTAAGCTTCGGTTAATCATATGATAGACAATCTTCCTGACTTACTGAATTTCGGCTTTTATGATGTTCTTCGTATGACGAAAAAAAGCTAAGCCAGTTTTCTTCCGAAACGATCTAGGATGTCTCGTGAAATCCGCCAGCCTGGATGTCGTATTAAAGCCACACGTCTGCAGTACAATGCCAATCGGCTGTCATCTTTTAGCGAGGTTGACCTATGAATCTATTCATCATGCACCTATATAGAAATTTTAGTCTTCACAACAATGTTATTTCGCTAGATTCATCGATTCCCGTTTTTATTCGTATGCTCTAAGTTTAAAAAAATGTTTTTCAGTTTGAAATCTTTTAAAAAAATTTAATGCAATAATCTAGCAAGGCATCTTTTCTATTAGCATTTTACTAGTTATCTAAACTTTCTATTGTTCCTAAATAACATTAAATTGAATCTCACTTGGCTTTTTTTTATGCTAACATAAAATCTCTGATTACAAACTCACTGGCTTTCACATTCAAATCTTTCAAAATAAAAATATATTTCATTGGTTAGCTTTATTTAATTGCACAACATCATGCTTATCATAGCCAAATGCCTGCTTTATTCTTGAACTGCAGTATTTTCACTTCATATACATCGTAGAGTTTCCAACTATAATATTTAACGACAGTACCACTTACAAGTTTTAAATAGTACTCATAGTCTTTATTGTCTTTTGCTCCACAGAGAATTCTCTTTGTATGAAGGAATGGCGTTCAAGTCTTGAATACCTCAGCCGCTATCCTAACGTCATTTGTAAAGTCACTGGTTCATCTGGGTTATACCGCTTAGAAGAAGCCCTCGATCCCGAACATTTTTGCACCTCCAATGAATCTTCCATTCGACCAAAAGAAGCGCCTCATAAATCCCCAGTACGGGTTTCCGGCGTTCGAGCCAAGCCAGGCCTTCCCAATTCAGCTCCATTGGTTTGTTATTCAGACGAAGATTCTGAAATGGAGGAAGAAGAGAGTGATGAAGAGAGAAGCCAGACAAAAAAGAGAAAAAAATGTCATCAAGAAGCTTCTGATGAAGAAATGTTAGTTGAGATTTCCACTGGGCTACCGGATAAACAATCTGAGTTGAGCCTTCTGACAAGCTATCAAG